AAAAAAAAAAAAAATATTGGACGAAAATATGAGTCGAAGAATTATTAATTTGAAATAAATAAATAAATAAATATAGTTAAATATTCCCTAAACAAAAAATTTTCATTTAATAATTCTTATAAGAATGTATTTACTCTTATATATTAAAAAGTACATAACTTTATTTGATTTTATTTGATTTCCAAAATCAAAAGATATATTTTCCAGGTGATGAAGTTACGTGGAATATACCTATGTACTTTTTCATCATGTAAGTAATATATTATAAGGAATTTGTGGAATATTTCTTTGTCGAAATAGATTATTCTTGACACAGTACACAGAAACAAGAAATTTATTTCGAACATTTTGGATAGATGCCGCAATATTTTACGAATGGTAAATCAACAGAAACGATATCTTGAATGTTTAACATAAAAAAGATATGTTCTGAAATAGATATGATGTGAACAATTTTTCTAAATCCATCCGTTTCTGAAACATTTCATAAAATATGCTTTCAATCTTTTTCCTTGAGAATTATTTTCACCCTTTAGACGAGGATGAACGATTTTCGACAAAAAAGATACGTAAAAAATAAGTAAAATATTTTTTCAAATTCCCAATTTCTAAGATACATTACCTCAAGATACATTCTAAAAATTCTATTTCTAATTTTTAAAGATTCCAATCAAAAATATTGAAAAATAAAAATTCTTTTCCATTCCTTTCCTTTCCCTCGTAATTCTCTCGAAATTCTAAAGAAATTGGCAAAGATTTTATATCCAATTAATCGATAAATGCAATCGACAACACAATAAACACGACCATCAATGCCGATATCTGAAATTCATCCCATTTTTTGACGGAATCGTCGCGCTAAGCACAAAAGATGCGTTCGCGTATATAAGCAACGTTTGAATACGGTCGGTTGAATGGAAACTGAACATTATTCATCGAGTATAATAGAAAATTGTCATAAAGTATGAAGATTTCTACACGCTCCATCGTTATAACAATAATAATAAAATTCGTTGGGATCGTACAAAGAACGATATCTTTCGTTCTCT